ACACTTAAAGAAATGTTCAACATCCTTAGCCATCAGGGAAAGGCAAATCAAAATTACTTTGAGATTCTATCTTAACACTTGTCAGAATAGCTGAGATCAGTTAGCCATTGTCACAACTGATGGCTCTTGCTGGCAAGGATGTGGAGCAAGGGGAAAACTTCATTGCTTAACTAAACTAAACTACTCTTAGTCAATATACCCAAAGATTCTCCATCCTATCACAAAGACACTTGCTCAACCATGTTCCCTGCAACTTTATTTATAATAGCAGAAACTAGAAATAAGCTAGATGTCCCTCAACAGAAGAATGGATGAACAAAATGTGGTATCTATACACAATGGAGTATTATTCAACTGTTAAAAAAATGACATCATGAAATTTGCAGGCAAATAGATGGAACTAGAAAAAAAAACATCTTGAGTATTCCAAACCCAGAAAGATAAATACAGTATGTATTCACTCATAAGGGGATATTGAGTAAATGATAACCAAGCTATGATGTCTAGACCCATAGAGGTTAGATTAATGAGAAGGGGCCCTAGGTAGGTAGGGACACAGTGATTTCCCTGGGAGAGGGAAATGGAATAGTTTTTAGGGGCAGACTGGGGATGTGTGGGGACATGAGGAATTGGGGTGGGGAATTTCGGGGTGGTGTGGAAATGTAGTGCAAAGGAATCTTCTCGGAAGGGATCCTAGTAATGGGGGATGTGGAGTCTCAACCAGCCATCTTTTGTAGCCAGGCACAGCTTCCAGTAGTGGGACTAGGGCACCTTCAACTGAGTTGTTGGCCAAGGAGGTCCCAAGAAAATCCCCAAATGAGCCAGGCTGTTGCTAAGACAATCCTGCTGTCTGCAAACTGACAGTGAGGAACCGTTTCTGAGGACAGCATCCACACAACTCACTGAACATGAGCTGGTGCCTACATGGAGCCTTCACCCCTACATTCCAGTGCTTTGGTGTGGGAAGGGACTCTGCAGGCTACGGAAAGAAAAAGGTGGATACCAATCCAGCCACAAAGCCTTTGACCTATCATCTGTGCTGCCTACAGAATATTCTAGAGTAGTGATGGCACAGAACTTGTGGAACCAGCCACCCAATGTCCGATTTGATCCACTCCAGGAGAAGGAGCCCAAGCCTGACACTGTTTGGGTAACCAAGAAGCAGAGGCTAGATAGCCCAGAGATCAAGGGTAAAACTAAACACTACTGGTAAAAAAAAAAACATCAATGAAGTGATTCCTAATGATAGTGTGCTATACTCATAGATCAGTGCCTTACCCAGTCATCATCTGATGGCTTCCTCTGGCAGCAGATGTTGGTGGGTGCAGAGACTCATGGCCTGACATTATGTGTGGAGAGTCTAAATTGGAGGCTTTCATCAAATCCTTCCCCTCAGAGCTCAGGGAGCCCCACAGAAGAGGAGGTGGAAAGATTGTAAAAGCCAGAGGGAATGGAGGACGCCAGGAGGACAAGACCCTTTGAATCAACTAAGCAAGGTACATATGAGCTCACACAGAATGGAGCAACAGCACAGGACCCACATGGGTCTGCACCAGGCCCTCTGTGTGTATATGTTATAGATATTAACTTAGTTTTTGTATGGGACTCCTGGCTGTGAGAACAAGGGTGTCTCCAACCCTTGCGCCTGCTCTCGGGACTTTTGTCTTCCTGTTGAGTTGCTGTGTCCAACTTTGTTATGATAGTTTTTGCTTCATTTTATTATGCTTTATTTTGTCATGTTTGGTTGTTATCTGTTTTTTTTTTCTCTCTCTAATGGGCTACAAAAAGGAAGTGGATCCAGACGGGAGGGGCAGTGGGGAGGAGTAGAGGGAGGGGAGGCTATAATCAGGATATATTGTGTGAGAAAATAATCTATTTTCAATAGGGGGGGAGAGAAAAAATTGGGCAAGAACCATGACTTGCTTTGCTGCATGTCATTAACATGAAGGGACAATTGTGGTGAAGATGAAACTCAATACCACACTTGGGGCTGCATTTCAGAAGACATTTTGAATAGTGAGGGATTGTTATAGGATAGATGCTCTCAGACGGTCTCTCTAAAGGTAATGAATATATGTATGGCCAGTGAGAAAGGAGAGGTGACAACAATCTCACTGTTCGTGGCTGGATCTTAAGGCTTTAAAGCTTATGCTAACTCCTGGGGCTCACCTTTGACTTTTAGCACTACAAAGATATTTCAAAAGGAAATGAGAAAACTTTCTGACCTTCCTTGGCAAATGGAGCTACACTTTAGGAGCACAAGTGGCTGAAAGTTCAAGGGTTGGGAAAGCAGAGGCTGGATGAATTTAATAACCCAAAGAAGCATCCGAATCTTCCAGGGGAAAAGCCAACAAATAACCGACAAAGGTAATGGCAGGCTGATAGAATCCTTTAAGATGCTGTGTGGTTTACAGATCCCTAGGATCCCAATCCTCTTCCATTTTAAACTACCTCGTTGATGTGAGTAGACATGCCACAGCCTTCTCTGCAGCCTTGTAAAGACACTTGGTCAGAGTGACCTGGGTCTGAATTTTAATTACACTGGAGTTTTGGGGTTGGGGTGTTGTCTCACTTTGAGTGTTCATGTCGAGTCAGTAATTCTGTCTGACAACTCTGTCTTACAGGGAGCGCTTTACTGGTCCTGATATTTCTATGGGAGCCTTTAAGGCTCCTTTCTTTTTTTATTTTGGTGATACATTATTTATGATTTAATAAAGATTGTCTGAAGTATCAGAAAGCAGATTCAGCCATACTAGTTAGCTGTAGAAACTAGGCAGTGGTGGCACACCTTTAATCCCAGGATTCAGGAGACAGGCAGATGGATTGCTCTGAATGCAAAGTCACACTGACCTACACAAGAGTGAAGAGTAACAGAGCTCATGTTAAGGCTCCTTTCTAAGAGCACCATCTTTCTTTACATGTAGAGCTTTTCCTCTGAGGTCAGACGACAGGTGCACTTGCAGCACTTTCAGCGTGGTGGTGTCACTCTGGAGCCTCTGTGTTCATAGCCTTCCATTCTGTGTATGTTTTAGGAGCTGAATTGCTGCTGACTATACCGTCTTTCCAGCAGGCTGCATAAGCAGGACTTACCCATCGCTTGCCACAGAGTGTGTTCCAGGCACACAACCAGCTCCTCAAAGGTTGACCCATAACTGGCAGGGTCTGGTGGAGAAGTTGGTCCTCAGCATCCACCTTTTTCCTCCCTTCAGGTCACCTGTGATGGCTGAGCAGAGTAGAAATGACTTAGAGAGAAAGTAAGGGAGGGCTTCAGGAGTAGAGAGAGAAGGAGCCAACATAGCTTCTGGCTCACAGTGTTTATGAGTCGTTCTTTAGACATTTGTTGAAACCACAGTGTGTTGAATACTTCTCCAAGCTCTGGGAGTGTAGTGGCCAAACAAAATATCTGAAAACCAAACTAAATCAATCAATCAAACAACCAAAATGAAACTAAACTAACACACCCAACCAACTAACCAACCCAAAATACTGGCCAACACAAACAAACCAACCAACCCACTATCCAACCCACTAACCAACTAGCCCACCAACCAGCCAACCTAACCAATCAACAAAACCAACCAACCAACTAAACCAACCAACCAACTAAACCAACCAACCAAATCAAACTAATCAATCAACCAACCAACCAAGCCCAATCAACCAAAGAATCACTCCCTCTACCTCTCCCGCAAAGGACTGAACCCTTCTAAGTCCCTGCCCTCATCAACAAAGAATATCTAGCAGCAAATACTTGGGAAGTAAAGGGATGTCTGGATTCAGGCAGTGACAGCAGCAGCGACAGCTGGGGGCAGACACAGCTTCCCATTTTGTAATACTGTTAAGCACTGCCTTAACCCAAATTGATTTCACTGACTTTAAGATTCCAGGCTCTTTGTTTGACAAATGTCACACTTGTGTACAAGCATTTGTACTTAAAATGCCAGTTTAAAGGTTTGCTAGGAAGAAAAAGGCCGAGCATGCCTTTGTGGGTAAGCTCTGGGCAGGATTAACTGAGCAGAGTGGTCAAAACCTCCCCGAGAAAACCGCCAGGTGGCACCTGTAAGGCGCAGATGGGGAGAGCCATTTGCCCTACCCCCACAGCCCGGGCTATCCAGGCTACCCAGCACCCTGCGGGCTTGTTGGCGAGGAAGTGGGGGAGTTTTAGTCTCTTTCCAGACTGCGTGATTACACACTCAATTTCCTGACACCCCAAACACACCGAGGGCGGATTTGTCTCCATGCAACCAGGCTATCAAAGGCGTGAGCCCGGTGGTTGGGAGCAGTTGCAACTCTCTGCAAGGTGGGGACTGACTGTGGGCTGATCCTGTGGCCAGGTCTGCTCAGCCTGGGTCAAGGGAGAAAGAGTTCTCAGGACCTTGACATACAGAAGTCACCAAAACATGGGAGACAGCTTGACATGACTCCCACGCCCAGTCCTCCCACGCCCAGTCCTCTTCCCGGCACAGTCAATGGGCACTGGTCTATGGCACCTTCTCTTGTCCTTTATTATTATTATTATTATTATTATTATTATTATTATTATTATTATTATTATTATTATTACATCTTCCTCTTCCGCAGCCGCTGCTCCTGCCATCCCTCCCCTTCGCCCCCGAGTGGGTAACTGTCCCCAGAGACAATGTGCAGAGTCTGAGTGGCAGGTGTCAGTAAACAGAAGCAGCGTGTCGTGGTCATTTCCGAGCTGTGCGGTCGGGCCATCAACTCCATCTGCGGCTGGGAGGCTGAGCTGCGGCCAGTGGCGAGTCCGCCCGCGGCTCCTAGTAGGTGGCTGCTTGGTGACATTGGGAAGAGACCGCTCTGAGGGAGTGAGCCCGCGACGAGGAGGAGAGAGGCAGGGCGTTGGGGGTGGGGACGTGGCGACAGTGCCAGGGGGCGTGTGAGCCGCGGGTGAGGAGCAACTTCTCCCGGGCGCGTGCGGCGGGGCGGCGGGCGGAGCGTGAGCTGCCAGCCCGGAGCGGGGAGCGGGGAGCAGGGAGCGGGGAGCGGGGAGCCACTGCCCGCGCCCTGCGCGCTAGCATCCTCCGGGTTCCCAGCCCCGGGTGCTGAGCTCGCCGCTATAAATAGCAGGTTACAGCTTCTGCTTGGGCGCACACGCTCTCGCTGGAGAACGCAGGAAAGTCAGCCCGAAAGTGTCTGCCGCTGCTGTCGCCCCCTACTCAGCCTCTGAGAGAGGTAACATCCTGCCTGGGATCCTGGGGCTCTGGGGGAGGGAACTGTGCGGGTACGGTGGGTGAGGATGGGTGAATTCGGAGGCTGTGGGGCGTTTCTGAGAGCTCGGGCTTGGGGGGCATGTCCTGCCCGAAAGGCAGCAGCTTGTGTGTTTCTTATCAAGTTTCCCAGCTTGCAGCCGCGGAGATCATTCCTTCAGCCTTGCCGCCCGGGGAGGCGAGGGGGGTGACTACTGGGGTGCTCCTGTGACCCCGATTACTGTCTGGGGGAGCTCCCCTGACCCGGCACGCACGCACGCACGCATGTACACACACACACACACACACACACACACACACACACAGTCCCACCCTGGGTGACACTGAGCTCTGGCCCAGCTGACCTACCCAGGCTGTGCCCACCTGAGAGGTCCTGAAAAGACGCTGCAGTGTGTGGCAGAGCCTTCTCAACCCTAGTTCCAATCACTGGCTGCCACCTGCCTCCTAGGAAGCGGTCCTAGACCTCAGGACCTGGAAGGGATGCTGGCTGGGGTTGCAGTTGACTAAAGAGACCCCTCTCCATGGCCATCTCCAGCCAAAGAGGAGTCAAGGAGTTAGAAGATCAGGGCCTGGGGTAAGAGGGAGTGGAGGGCAGGTGAGAGGATTATCTGGAGCCCTAGATCTGCACTGCAGCCTTCTTGAGCTCCTCTGGCCCCTCTGGCAGGTCCAGGAACCAGAGCAAGTCCAGGAGCCTGCTTCTTATAGGGACTTTGAGGTTTGTAGCCAGCTCTAGGTGATGCCCCTTGAACCTTTGATTGTGCTCCCTTTGGGGCAGTGGTTTCATTCCCTGAGGACATCCAGTGGTTTCTGTTTGGGGACAGAAGCTTTATAGGTGACGACGTGCATATTGATGAGATAGTTGTTGCTGCTGCACAAAACTTACTGGAAAAACCGGGGGTGGGGGGAGAGGGAGAGAGAGAGAGAGAGAGAGAGAGAGAGAGAGAGAGAGAGAGAGAGAGAGAGAGAGAGGGAGGGAGGGAGGGAGGGAGGGAGGGAGGGAGGGAGGGAGGGAGGGAGGGAGGGAGGGACGGAGGGAGGGCATCAGCTGCTTTTTGGGGACCAAGGTTTCTTAAGGTTGAGCGTGAGGGATGCTCACATTGATAATGTCGTTCCTGCGGCCCCCACTTATCAGGGAAACCCCAGCGGGGCATCTTGTCACGTTTATGATGTAGACTGGCTTCTTCATTTATCTTAATGTTTCTTTCTCCTGAATCCGGTTTCTTTAATGCCACCTGAGGTCATTGCTGTGTGTTACATATTGCTTACTTTCCCCCTTAGTGTAGAAGAACTTGTTTCTGAAGGTGTGGCTCTATAAAAAGCATGAAAGTGCAGAGGACAGGGGTGAGTTCATCTTCCCGATGATGGGCACTAGGTGGCCCCTTTTACAGGTGTACATCTACATTTAGAGGACCTTACTCGAGCAGGAATTTTCTTAATGTGTTCTGGAATCGTAATGATATCAGTCTGACTTGGTTCAGAGAGCCATCCACAGAGTGGCTGGATGATGACAGTTGGAGTTGGGAGAGGCTTGGTTAAGCCGGCACGGTCAGCTCAGTCAGTGTTGGGGGAAATACATTATCTCCTGTTCTCTGGGATAGTCTCCAGGGAAGCATTGACACAAAATCACAGTAATTGATCAGTGCCTCTGTGCTCAGCATATGGGCCTTAAAACTGAACCTGTTGGAGTTTCAGTAAGTTGAAACAGTTCTGCAAAAATGAAGCTTTTCTCTTATTTTTCCATGGGATTCCTGTGTGTGTGAATGTGTGTCTCTGCATCCAAATGTGTTTCTTCTGCCTTTTCTTTGGCTCTTTTTCTTGTCTCTGTTTTATCCTGTTTTATTTTACTATTGGTTAGATGCCTGTTTTCTGATGAGAGTCAGAAAGGGTGTGGATTTAGATGGGTGGGGAGAATCTTGAAGGAGTTGGGAAGGGAAAACTGTAATCATAATGTATGAAAAAAGTCTATTTCAATTAAAAGGAAAGATATAAAAGAATGCTTTTTCTGTGAGTTTCTTTCAACTGTGACTTAGAAGATTGTCCTTGAAAGGTTATGAAATGTGAATGTCAGGAGGGGTTAGAGGCTCTGTGCCATTGGAAAACATTTTCTGATTGAATTCTAACCTTCTGGACTGTAGAATAGTAATAGGTAAACAGGATTTGTTTGTGATAAACTAATGGCCGATAGGGTGTTTAGAACAGGGATTTGTGTTTGACTCTGCCAGTGGGGGGGGCGCTTGATAGACTAGACTGAGTCTTGACCCTCAAAATGTTTTAAGACTTAAGGATGGCGTTCTGGGAAGAAAATACTCTTAGACTATTGGCTTCAGCTCCACCTTGACGATGCAGATTGATTGAATGACCTTACAGCTTAGAAGATGCTCTTGTCAAAATACTACCTGGCTCCAATCCTGTAGACCCATCAGTCAACTTTGGTTAGAAGAAAATGCAATTATATTTTAGTTCTCCAAAATGGAAAGTGAAATTAAGCTCTGGAGAAACCAGCTATTTGTTCTAAATTGTGCAAATTCGAAAAGTTGCTGACTTCTTTTCTGAAACATCACACTGTCTTCTAGTATAAGTCAGGCCAGGCCCCACATGGGTAACTGTTAGCTTCTGCTGTCTTCAGGCAAAGTCCTAGAAGGCAACTCCATGAGAGACAAAGGATTGCCAACTCTTCTTATTGCTTAGCAACCAAGTAGACATCAGTCTCCAGGTAAGAACCCAGCATCTGAAAATACAAAGTCCAAGCAGGAGGAAAGTGTAGTCAGGGAGGAAAATGCTTACTGAATGTTGCCATGTTTGCTGTCTTCACTCAGTGGTGCTAATAATTAGATACGCAAGTGTTGTATGTCTTATAATCTCCATGGGACAGTCTGTCATTCATATAGCACTTTATATGTGAATAATGACTACGTGTTCAAGCATGTATTTTCTATATGCTGTATCTTAATCTTTTAAAATTACTGATCTCTCTAAAGGCCTAAGGAACTTGCTTCAGAAGATGTATTGTTGCTGGCTTTTTTTTTTGTAGTTCTCTTTCTTTCTTTTTTTTGTTTTTATATTTTTTATTATTTATTTTTAAGTTTAAATTTAGATTAGAAACAAGGTTGCTTCACAAGTCAGTTCCAGGTCCCTCTCTGTTTCCCTCCCCTCCTCCCGTGTCCTCCCCCACCCCCCCCAATATCCCCTCATTTCCCCAGGGAGGGTGAGGCCCTCCATGGAGGTGTCCATAGTCTGTCATTTCATCCGTTGCTGGCTTTTTTTATTGTATGTTGTTTCAGAACTCTCTACCAGGGAGCCCCTTAGAAGACACTAATTTCATATGTACTTTAATACTCGGGCCTAAGAATAGTACTGTTGAATAAATAATTTCACCATAAACATTTATTTATAGAGAAGTCCAAATGATAATGTTATAATTGAATTTTTGCATGTGGGATTCATGTGATCTTTGTGTTTCAAAACTTTAGGTGTAGTGTATACCTAGAAAAAGTCTTTAGATAGTGGAAAACTTAAAAGGAAGCTTCCAGAGTCTCAGGTACAACGCCACTGGCATCAAGATATCTCAGTTCTCTTTATTCATTTTCCTGCCATATTCTTCAGGAAAGACTTTTAAAATGAGGCTGGAGAGGCGGCTTAGCGTGCTGCCGAGGACCTGGGTTTGGTTCCCAGCGACTTCATTAGTCAGCTCACAAGGACTTTTAAGTCCTGTCCTAGGAGTTCCAGCACCCTCTTATGACCTCAGCACCTGCACACAAGGTACACATAAAACTCATGCAGGCACACACACATACATATACATGCTTTGGTGCTTTCCAGCTTCTGACCAAATCACAGAATAAGCAGTCTGTGACTGAAAAGCTTACCTTTTATCTAGGGCACTATGGCGCCCCCTATCTTCTGCCCTGTGTGTATAAGGCCTGTGGACTATGATCATAGGGTCCTGAGCTCACATCTTTCCAGTTGTCCTTGTAATTTTGCTGACCCATGGGTGTCATGATGGATGCCGTCTCATACAATGTAGCAAATCTTAAATGTTTTCCAAACTGACCTTTCTTGAGTTGTATTTGGAGTAAGTTCTGTTTCTGCTGCATCTCCTGATGGCCATGGAGTGAGTGAGTAATGGGCATTGGAAGTTTCCCAAATCACATAGTTTTCATGCTGTTTCCTTTGGGAGTTGTAAAAATTCATAATTTTCACAGGGACGGAGATAACTCTTTTTACAGAGGAGTTTTGTCTGCCATCTCTCTATTATCTATCCACATACCTATCATCTGACTGTCCACTTCCATATCAGTGATTTATCTATCTGCCTATCTATCCATCCATCCATCCATTCACCCATCTTTCTATTTTCAGCAAAGTGATGCAAGAAGTTCAATAGTAAAATTGCTCAATGGTACCAGGCGGTGGTGGCACACGCCTTTAATCCCAGCACTCGGGAGGCAGAGGCAGGTGGATCTTGTGAGTTCGAGGCCGGGCTGGACCGACAGCCTCCAAAACAGTACAGAGAAACCCTGTCTCGAGAAACCAAAAAAAAATTGCTCAATGGTTTTCTCTGATGTGTTCCAATGTTAGGAAAGGGACACACAGGCCGTATTAGTAGCCATGTTGATATTGACAATAGCAATAAAAAACATCTTTCAGGATACAAAAGAAAAAAGTATTAAAAAGCTTCCACAAGTTGTTTATATAAGGTATGCATTAATTTAAAATATTGCAAGACATTTTTATTTCTCAAAACAGAGTGAGTTTTTAAAAGCTAAGAGGCGGTGGTTTACAAGAGAGAGCTTTCAGAATCGTTTACTAAGAAAATTGTAACTAAGAGCTAGAAGTAAGTAGAGATGCATCTCAGGGTGAGAACAGTTGCCTTAAGTGTGAAAGGCTCTGGGTTCAATCCTGGCACTGGGACAAATGAATTGTCTTAGTTTTGGTTCCTATTTCTGTGATTAAACACAATGTTCG